AGATCTGGATGTGCCAAGCCTTCCCGATGGAACGAGGTTTTCATGGGTTTGGACATGCAGGTGAAATCGACGTTTAACGTCATTCACGCATACAAATCGAATCCTGCCAAACCTGCTTAGAACTCAGCATCTCTTCCCTGGTGCTCGACGCCAGCTGGGAGTGGGTGGAGCTGCTGAGGCAGGTTAGAGGAGTCCTCTGCTGTAGTAGGGTGTGAAAGGAGGGGGCCGAATGCAGGGGGGGGGTGTCTCTCCGTGTTGTTCCCTAACGGCTAGAGCCATACAGGGATTTGGGCACCTTGATGCCATTTTAGATTCACTGCCTTTAAGGCCAGAAGGGACCATTGTGATCATCTAGTCTGACCTCCTGCACATTGCAGGAGACCCCTAACATCTGGCTGAGATACTGAGATCCTCAAATCATGGTTTAAAGACTTAACGTTACAGAGAATTCACCATTTACACTAGTATAAACCTGCAAGTGACTCGTGCCCCATGTTACAGAAGAAGGCGAAAATCCCCCAGGGTCTCTGCCAATCTGACACAGGGGGAAATTCCTTCCTGACCCCAGATATGGTGATCAGTAAGACCCTGAGCATGTGGGCAAGACCCAGCAGCCAGACACCCAGGAAAGAATTCTCTGTAGTAAGTCAGATCCCACCCCATCTACTGTCCCATCACTGGCTATTGGAGTTATTTGTTAATGGCTGTCGTGGATCGGCCACACGCCATTGTACTTCATCAAACCATCATCATCCCTCAGCAACCTCAGCATATTGTCCCTTCAGTAATCTTTTCATGCTCAGTTTTGACATCAGTTAGGCTTTTTGCCCCCACTGCTTCCCTTGGGAGGCTGCTCCAGCACTTCACTCGGATGGTTAGAAACCTTTGTCTAATTTCAAGCCTAAACTTGCTGATGGCCAGTTTACATCCATTTGTTCTTGTGTTCACATTTGCACTTAACGTAAATAACTCCTCTCCCTCCCTGGTATTTATTCCTCTGATGTATTTAGAGAGAGCAATCATATCTCCCCTCAGCTATCGTTCGGTTAGATTAAACAAGCCAAGCTCTTTGAGTCTCTTCTCATCAAACAGGTTTTCCATTCCTCGGATCATCCTAGTAGCCCTTCTCTGCTTCTGTTCCAGTTTCAATTCATCTTTCTTAAACATGGGAGACCAGAATTGCACAGTGTCCCAGATGAGGTCTCACCAGTGCCTTGTGTAACAGTACTAACACTTCCCTATCTCTACTGGAAATACCTCGCCTGATGCATCCTAGGACTGCATTAGCCTTTTCACGGACGCATCACATTGACGGCTCACAATCATTCCATAACCAATCAATACACCCAGGTCTTTCTCCTCCTTTGTCACTTCTAACTGATACATCCCCATCTTATAGCACAAATTCAGTGCTGCCTAAGTCCAACATTTGGGTGCACTCAGCTGCTGTCAACTCTCCAGGTGCCTGAGTTTCCACCATTAAAGTCCCATGGTGCCTACTGGTTTCTGTGGGTGAGCATATGCAGAGCTGCCTCGGGCAGGGAGTGGGATGCAGGGGGTTGGCCTAGTGGTTGGTGCAGGAGTAAGTGGTCAGGAACCGAAGCCAAGGGCCAGAGCCGGGTTCCCTGGGGTGAGGTGGGGAAGGGGCCATGGCAGCTGTGGACGAATGCTTTGAGCAGCCAGCGCCCTGCTGCTGGGCTTGAGCGCAGGTCTGCTGATCGTCCGAGCAGGACCCACCATGCTCATCAGACAGCCAGGGGGTGAAGCCAGCAGCTAAGCAGGCAAGCTGCAGGTTCTCACACCTCCATGATGTCCCTGAGCTGCCTGGAGCCCTAGCTCACACCGGGGCCCTCCCCTGAATTCTTGGACCAGATGTCGCCCAGCCTGGCTGGCCTGCGGCGCCCAACCTGGGGGGGCGGGGTCATGACCCTAACTTTCACCAAGGCCACTGCAGAGAAGGGGAGCTGCCCTACTGCCCAGGCTTTAGGGTGCAATGGGGCCCGCTGCCCAGTGGTTGAATTATGGGAGCCTCACTAGAACTGACCAGGTTATGCCCCTAGCTCCAGAAGAGGGCTCCCAGCTGAAGATCCTGGACGGGGTTGAGGACCAAGTCCCTTTGAGGGTCTAGGGTTAGCTCCCCCCCTCCCCCATAGGGTGACCAGACATCCCAATTTTATAGGGACAGTCCCGATATTCAGGGCTTTTTCTTATATAGGGACCTATTACCCCCCAACCCCATCCCGATTTTTCACACTTGCTATTTGGTCACCCCACCCCCCAAGTATTTCCTACTGGTTAGCAGCTCCACCCACTGGCCAGGGGGGCCCAGCGCAGGCCTGTGAATGCAGGTATCTGAACGCCTTGCAGCGCTAAGTCCCCTGGGGGGCCAGCCCTGAATTCCCCAGCCTGGGGAGCCCTTTTGGGAGAGCCCCAGAGGGAGCATTGGGGAGGGGCGAGCAGGGAGGCTGGGGATGGGGACTCCAGGGTCTCTCTCTTGCCAAGCAACCACGTGAGTGAAGAGCTCAGAGCCCAGTGCCTTGGGACAGCACTGCCCTGGCTGGCAGCGTGGCCCCCCTCCCACAGGGCAGAGTTCACCAGGCCCCCGGCCACTCTGCTCGGAGGGGCACGTGAGCAGGCGTTTCCCAAAGGCAAGTGCTGCACAGCTGGGGAGGAGACGCTGGGGCCCAGATTCACAGAGGCTCTGATGTGCCGAACTCACTGGAGAGGGGTGAATCTGTCCATCATGCCACATGGCAGCAACTTAGAGACCACCCCCAGACCTCTGCCGCCCACTGCATCGCCCATCACACTCCCAAGCCCCTGCCCCACCAGAACAGCCTTAATTCTGCCCTCAGTCCTGGCCCTGCCACCTATACCCCTGCCATGCAGTCAGTCAGTGCCCCTGTGCCAGCTGGCTCCCCTCAGTGCTGGGTGACGTAGCCAGATGTCCTGCCACTGCCAACTCTCGGGGCATCTCTGCCAGTCCCATGTGGCAGGTGTTTGCAGGAGCTGATCACGCTGGTGAGATTCTTTGCCCACACTAGGAGTGGCCACGGACATCTCCCTGCGGGAGCAAAGCTATGGGCTGCCCTCAGTGAGGGGTCAGTGGCCGGGAGGCTAGTCCTAGCAGAGCACCACTGTCCACCAGTGGTTCTGGTTCCTTGCATTTACTCTGGGGACAGGGGGTGCCAGCCCAAGTGGCGCCTCAACTGGGGAGGGCACAGAGATGGCAGAAAGTCCCCTTCGCCTTTCCTGGGGGGCAGCTCGGCCCTGCTGTTTAAGCCAACCTGGGTATTTTCTGGGGAGGGGGTGAAGAGGGGGATCTGAGACATGCATTTGGAGCAGACTGTAGAGGAGAAAAGGGAGCAAATGGAGTGAATGGGGTGATGAAGCTTTGAGGGATCTCAGCAGCAGGGCCCCAGTAATGGCCTAGGGGTGTCTGGCTCCTTGGGCCAGTGGCCCTCACAGCAGGTTGGGGGGGTGGGAGCTGCTGGCAGGCTATAGGGTGTTCGTGCCTCCACGCAGGGCTCAGAGCCAGTTCAGCGGCTGAGCTGCCCCCTGACTCTGTCCTGGCACCGGTGCCTCCGCAGGACCAAACACATTCGAGGACGCGGGCGCCTACATCAAGGTCCAGTTCCTGGAGCTCAACATGCGCCGGGACGTAAAGGAGATCTACTCGCACCTGACCTGTGCCACCGACACTGAGAACGTCAAGTTCGTCTTCGACGCCGTCACCGACATCATCATCAAAGAGAACCTCAAGGACTGTGGCCTCTTCTGAGCCCCCAGAGCCATGTCTGCAGTTCCCAATCTGTACCACATCCACATCCCCCACTCCCGGTACCATGGCTGTGGCAACCCATCACCCCCTTGGTATCACGGCTCCTGCTCCCCCTGTCCCACATCCCCATCCCCTTTTATTAATAAAGAGATCTAGCCTCAGCCTCTCTGTTCATCCCCCCGTGCCGAGGGTTCTGGATCCCTGGCATGGAACAGGCCAATCCTGTGGCCAGTCTTGTGGCCTCCGCAGCCTATCTGCTCAATAGAGAGCATTGGTCCTGCGAGCACAGCTCCCTGGGGCTGGGGCAAAGCTCACAGCTGCTTTCCATGGGGTTTCCCTCTCCCAACAGGCCCCCAAACTCCCTTTTGCTGGGGATGGAGCCAATCAAAGCAGCACAAACGGGGGGGTTTCTTTCTACATTTTATTATTTCAAACCGTGTGAACAATTTGGTAAAACATCCTGTGATAAAAGCTAGGCTGCGTCCGTCGCTGGCTAAGGGCCCCGAGCAGCTTGTCAGGGCCCGCTTACATACAGCAGTGTTTCCTCAACCGACGCTACAGTTAGAGCTAAGAAACAACATTTAAAACAGAGTTGACAGTAGAGCAACCTCATGAGCAATCCCTGCCCACTGGGGCAGGGGAGGAGAAGGAACGGGAAAGAAGCGGACGTGATCACCACCGCTTAGTCCTTCGCTGGCGTCTTAGCCCTTAGAAATCTAGTTCTGCTGATGGGAAAAGATGTGGCTCGAGGTTCTGGGCCGTGTTCTCCCCATGCTGGGGACCGAGTCCGGCCTGGAGATCTGGAGGGGAGATTTTATTTGAACCCAATTCTAAACACAACTCACGTCGGAGCAAACTATGGAACAGATGTAAACGTACTAACACCCCTCAAGGCACAATTTTTTTTTTTTTTTTTTTTAACTGTAGAAGATTTTGTGAGGACAACTTGACCATTTAGTACTGGACTTTGTTAAATAGTTTTTAAAAAAGATCTCATTTAAAAAGCAATGTAAAATATGATTTTCTTTTTTGTTTTTAAAGGAATGTTGATTTTTTTTTCTTGCTGGTCTGTGCAAATCACAGGAGTCTGAGGGACTTGCTGGAGCCCCCCCCCCAGTGAAAGAGCAACGGTTCGAATGTAAACATTTGGAAAGTGATTTCTTAAGTGAGGACGGTCGGGAGCAATTCCAACCGGAGTTTAAAAAAAAAAAAAAAAAAATTAAAAATGTGGGTTTCCCCCACCCCCAAAATAATCTTTTGTTTTGTTTTGAAGCTGCTGCGTTTTAGTTTAACCGGATGAAAATGTCCCAATCTGCAGCCACTGATCTGTGTGACCCATGAGTCCTTGTGGGGGTGGCCGGGGGGGGAAATACCAAGCAGGTTCAGACAGAAACACGGCCTGCAGCAGGCAGTTGGGGGACCCAGATGGGACCTGCCTTCGTGTTATGATCATTAACCAAAGTCTTTTATTAGGAGGGAAAAAAACAAAACAAAACAAAAAACCAAGAAGCAGAAGTTGTTAAATGGTGCAGTCCTTCCTTCGTCGGCGACAGCCTCTCCTCCGGTACATGCAATTCAAGTAATCCTAGAAGAGAGACGCACCCAGGAGTTATACTGTTGAGACCCGCGGGCGCGCGGCTGTGGCTGATCACCACGTTACCTTCCGGCACCCGAGCTGGTGGGACTCTCCAGGCTTAACGGGAGGGTCTGGAGTATGGAGAGACCAGACTGAGGACAGACACGTGCAAACCAGTGGGGGGCCAAACGCCGACTGGCCCACGGGCAGCACTTCAGCCCTGCTGCAGCCCCCAATGGGACTGCGGGGGAGAGGCAGAGAGACGAGGAAGGGGAGACACAAGGCAGTTCCTTTGGTGCCCATTTAATGCTATGCCCCCAGGTAGGTCATCAGCCATGGGGATCGAACCAGTGACCTCTGGATCTGAACACCCGCAGCTCCGGCAGCCAAGGCTGCAGCAGGCTCAGCAACGTGTGTGTGTGGCCCCATTGCCACAGGAGGGGCAGGGCCCAGGTTCCACCTGCCTGCCAGGACTATCAGGAACGGCAGTGCCTGGCTCACAGTGCCCTGAACATGCCTTCGAACACAGCCCCCGGGGGAGCACCCTCCCCTCAAGGGGAAACCGGCATCGCCGGGCTGAGGGCAGTGGGACTGTGAGGATGGGGCGGAGGCACCAGCTACCAGATCCAGGATGCAGCTTCCCCGAGTCGCTGCTGGAGTCCCTCCCCCAGGGGCTACGGGTGAAACCCAGGCTCCCCAGAGCCCGGCTTCCCTGGCTCGGCCTGTTTGCAGGGAGACGGGCGGCTGAGCAGCGTCCCCCGGCACAGCTGGCTTTGTAAAGCCATGCTGAGCGTGAGCCGCCCCGGGAAAGGGAGCTGGCTGGATCCCGGCTGGAGCCGCCCTTCCCATGGCGTCTCAGGCTGGATAGAGAACATGGGCACAAGCCCCGTGCCCCGGCACCGCTGGGCCCTGTGCCTGGCCTCAGGCACGTCAGTGACACTGGACGTGGGTGCTGCAAGGGTAAGAGCCCCCTCTCCCCCACTGGCCTCCCCAGGGAGGGCCCAACGCCTGGGCCTGCTGCAACCTGTACCACCTAGAGCTAGTCCTCTGCTCCCCCAACCCCCGGGCCACCCCTGGGCTCCCCACCATAGAGCACCAGGGCAACTGGAGGCGATGGCTGGGGGCCGGGTGGCTTGGATTTCACAACGACTGGGCTCCAATCTGCCCCACATGGGACAGGATCACTACGCGAAGTAGAGAGGCTGCATTCTCCAGGCCCCGCCCCACAGGCCTGCTGGCCCCCTAGCCCCCTCCTCATGGGCCCGCAGCTCCCTTCCCCCAGCAGCAGCCCACAGAGCGAGGTTCTGGGAAACGTCGCCCTGGCCTATACTCTGCCTGCCTTGTACATTACTGAGAGGCTCCCCCATGGGCTGATCCATGCAGTGGGGCCGCCCTGCACCACAGCTCAGTAGGGCTGCTTGAGAAGGAGGAAGGGCCCGTTTGCTCATGCACCCAGGGCTGAGGGGCTGACGGGGACGTGGAGAGAGAAGGACCCTGGCTGCACAGCCAGCCCCGGAGCTCCCCAGCCTGGCCTCCTCCAGCCCAGGCATCAGTGCCTCTCCTCCACAGGCCGTCTCTGGGCACCAGCCTTTCCCCCCTGTCCCCCAGGCCTCTATCGCTGAGCCCTCGCTGGACACTGGGGCCTCCCCGGCCAGCCTCACCTTCCCCTGTTCCGCAGCAGGTGCCGTTCCGCCGTTAGAAGAGCCCGCAGTCCTTCAGGTTGTTTTTGATGATGACATCGGTGACGGCGTCGAAGACGAACTGCACGTTCTTGGTGTCGGTGGCGCAAGTGAAATGTGTGTAGATCTCCTTGGTGTCCTTCCGCTTGTTCAGGTCCTCAAACTTGCTCTGGATGTAGCCAGCCGCCTCATCGTACTTATTGGCCCCTGAGGAGGAGGAGGAGGAGATGAGCCACCTGCGTACAGGGCACAATGCTAAGAGGAGCCCCCTGAGCGCTGATCCTGGGTTGGTCTCTTCCCCTGGCAGTGCCTCGGTTTCCCCAGGCAGAAAGTGAGATCCTGACCTGGTGTCCGAGATAGGTGTGTGCCACGGGCACAGTCACACTTTACACCATAGGGATGTTTGCAAGCAGCCTATAGAGGGTTAATAAATGAACAACAGACACTTTAATAAATGGCTATTTGACTGCTAGAGAGTGTATAGGTTGCTTATGACCACGGCTTATAGCCATCCAACACATGCCCCAGTCTTCATTCACTAACCCTTCATCGCCGGCCCTTTCTAGAAAGCGTGACCCCAAAAACTAAGCCTCGCCCATGCGTCTCTCCTGGCCAGTGTAAATGTGGAGCTTCTCAGCCATACACGTGCCCCAGCCTTGGTTGAATCCCGTTAACCTCTTGGCTTCAGGGAGATCTTGAGGCAATGAGTTCCACAGGTTAAATATACACTGGGTGAAAAAGTACCCTCAGCAGTATTCAGCGTGTTGCCTTTCAATGTCCCCAATTGTCCCTGTGAGCAGAACCACGTCACTGACCATCCATACACTTGTGCACCTTGTCAGTCATGTCCCCCCTTACTCATCTCTGACCCCGTCTCTCCACACCTCCTTTCTGGCACTTGTCTCTGAAGTCCCTTTGTCTGCTGTGTACCATGGTAGAAATGGGGTGGAGAGAGCTGGGCCTGGGGTACCAGGAATACTTCCTCCATTAGTCTGTCTAAGGGGCACCTCACACTATGTTGTATTTACCTCCCACCCCTGTGCAGAAGAGCTGTGCTATTATCCCCAGTGTACAGATGGGCAAACTGAGACACAGATGGGGGACCAGGGAATTGAACCAGAGTCTGCTGAGTCGCAGGTTTGTGCCCTAACCATTGGACCAGTCTCACGTAGTCTCCGACTTGGTTAAAATGACCCCAATTTGAGCGGCTCTGTTGACTGCAGTTGTACCCTGGCCTGGGCGCAGAGGGGCCGGAACAACCCACCTCAACAGCGACAAGTAACCGAGAACCCAGCCACACATCCGAGCAGTTCGAGCGACTCCTCCCTGTGGCCACAAGTGTTGCTGAGCTCTGCCCAGCCTGCAGCCCTCACTACTTTACAGTGGGGGCTATTCAGCTCCCTTTCCGTGCTCCCAGGCTTGGGCTGCAAATGTGTCAGTGGAGCAACAGACAAGGTGGGTGAGAAAAGACGGTTACTCACCGTTGTAACTGTTGTTCTTCGAGATGTGTTGCTCATATCCATTCCAGTTAGGTGTGCGCGCGCCGCGTGCACGATCGTCGGAAGATTTTTGCCCTAGCAACCCCGGTGGGTCGGCTGTGGAGCCCCCTAGAGTGGCGCCGTTATGGCGCTGGATATATACCCCAGCCGACCCAGCGCCCCCTCAGTTCCTTCTTGCCGGCTACTCCGACAGTGGGGAAGGGGGGCGGGTTTGGAATGGATATGAGCAACACATCTCGAAGAACAACAGTTACAACGGTGAGTAACCGTCTTTTCTTCTTCGAGTGCTTGCTCATATCCATTCCAGTTAGGTGACTCCCAAGCCCCACCTAGGTGGCGGGGTCGGAGTGAGACATTGCTGTGTGCAGAACCGCTGACCCGAAAGCAGCATCGTCTCTGGATTGTTGCACCAGCGCATAGTGAGTAGCAAATGTGTGGACCGATGACCACACTGCAGCTCTACAAATGTCCTGGATCGGTACTTGAGCCAGGAAGGCAGTCGAGGAGGCCTGGGCCCTCGTGGAATGAGCAGTGAGGCGTGGCGTCGGTACACCGGCCAGGTCGTAGCAAGCACGAATGCAGGACGTAATCCAAGAGGACAGGCACTGTGAAGAGACCGGTGAGCCTTTCATCCGGTCGGCCACTGCAACGAAGAGTTGCGTTGTCTTCCTAAATGGCTTTGTACGGTCGATATAGAAAGCCAGGGCCCTGCGAACGTCTAAGGAATGCAAACGCTGGTCTTGACGAGTAGCGTGCGGCTTCGGATGGAAGACTGGAAGGAATATGTCCTGATTAATGTGAAAAGGTGACACCACCTTCGGAAGAAAGGCAGGATGGGGGCGAAGCTGCACCTTGTCCTTGTGGAACACCGTGTAAGGGGGCTCGGATGTCAGCGCCCTGAGTTCAGAGACGCGTCGTGCTGAGGTGATGGCCACGAGGAAGGCTGTCTTCCAGGATAAGTACAGGAGTGAACAGGTCGCCAATGGTTCAAACGGAGGCCCTGTGAGCCTGGAGAGCACGAGGTTGAGGTCCCACGTCGGAACCGGCTGTCGTTGCTGTGGGTACAGTCGGTCTAAGCCCTTGAGGAATCTAACCACCATCGGGTTAGAGAAGACCGAGGACGTGAGTTCTCCTGGGTGGAAAGCGGAAATAGCGGCGAGGTGAACCTTGATTGAGGATGTCGCCAAGCCTTGCTGTCTTAAGGACAGGAGGTATTCCAGTATGCAGGGGATAGGTGCCTGCAAGGGAGAAGTAGCTCGTTGCTCACACCAACAGGAGAACCGCTTCCACTTGGCTAGATAAGTGGTTCGCGTAGAGGGTTTTCGACTTCCCAGCAGAACCTGCTGGACGGCCTGCGAGCACTGCCGCTCTGTCCGACTCAACCATGGAGCATCCACGCCGTGAGGTGGAGGGACTGTAGGTCGGGGTGACACAACCGGCCGTGGTCCTGGGAGATGACGTCCCGACTCAAGGGGAGCGTGATCGGCGTTCGTACCGAAAGATCCAGCAGTGTGGAGTACCAGTGTTGCCTCGGCCAGGCGGGGGCGACTAGAATCACCCGTGCATGATCCCTGCGGATCTTGAGCAGTACCTTGTGGACCAGCGGAAATGGAGGGAAGGCGTAGAACAGGTGGTCCTTCCATGTTAGAAGGAAGGCGTCTGACTGAGAGCCCGGGGCTCGTCCGTGCAGGGAGCAGAATACCTGGCACTTCCTGTTGGCCCGAGATGCGAAGAGGTCGATCTGGGGAAATCCCCACCTCTGGAAGACGGAATAGATGACGTCCGGGCGAATTGACCACTCGTGTGTCTGGAAGGACCTGCTGAGACGGTCCGCCAGCGTATTCTGGACTCCAGGAAGGAAGGATGCCGTAAGATGTATCGAGTGGGCGATGCAGAAGTCCCACAGGCGAATGGCCTCTTGACATAGGAGCGATGAGTGGGCTCCGCCTTGCTTGTTGATGTAGAACATTGCCGTGGTGTTGTCGGTGAGAACCAACACGCAACGGCCCTGTAGGAAGTTGAGGAACGTCTGGCAAGCTAGGCGCACCGCCATCAGCTCTCTGACGTTGATGTGGAGGGCTAGTTGGGCCACGGACCAGAGGCCCTGGGTATGGTGCTCTCCGAGGTGAGCGCCCCAACCTAGAGATGAAGCATCCGTGACTAGGTGGAGGGAGGGTTGTGGGTCGTGAAAGGGTACTCCTGCACAGACCGCCGTACGATCCGTCCACCAGGTGAGGGAGGCCCGGACCGAGGCCGGAACCGTGACCACCATATTCAGGTCGTCTCGATGAGGACGGTAGACCGATGACAGCCAAGCCTGCAGTGGGCGAAGTCGTAGCCTGGCGTGCCTGGTCACGTACGTGCACGAGGCCATGTGGCCCAATAGGGCCAGGCAAGTCCTTACGGTGGTGATTGGAAAAGTCCTGAGTCCTTGAATGATGCTTAGGATGGTCTGAAAGCGGCTGTCGAGGAGGATAGCTTGGGCACGTCTGGAGTCCAGGACTGCCCCGATAAACTCTATCCTCTGAGTTGGTACCAGGGTGGATTTTTCTCTGTTGAGTAGAATGCCCAACTCGTGGAAAGTGTGTGTCACCATGCGGACATGAGCCTGCACTTGGTCCCTGGTGCGGCCGCGTACCAGCCAGTCGTCCAAGTACGGGAACAGCTGTATCCCTTGTCGACGAAGGAAGGCCGCGACGACTGCCAGACACTTTGTGAACACTCTGGGAGCCGAAGACAAGCCGAAGGGAAGGACTGCAAATTGGTTGTGCATTGCGCCTACTACAAATCGCAGGAAACGTCTGTGAGGCGGATAGATCGCTATGTGAAAATAAGCGTCCTTCATGTCGAGGGCGGCGAACCAGTCTCCAGGATCCAGTGAAGGGATGATGGTCCCCAATGAAACCATGCGGAACTTCAACTTTACTATGAATTTGTTGAGTCCGCGCAAGTCTAAGATGGGCCGTAGACCCCCTTTTGACTTGGGTATCAGGAAGTAGCGGGAGTAAAACCCCCTGCCCCTTAGCTCCGATGGAACTTCCTCTATGGCCCCCAAAGAGAGGAGCCCAAAAACCTCCTGTGTAAGGAGTTGCTCGTGAGAGGGGTCCCTGAAGAGGGACGGGGAGGGGGAGTGGGAGGGGGGGGGCGAGGAAAATTGGAGGGCGTATCCCCTCTCCACCGTGCGAAGGACCCAGCGGTCCGAGGTTATAAGGGACCAAGCACGGTGGAAGCGGGAGAGGCGATCCCGGAAGGGGGGAGTTGGATCCTGGATACAGGCCGAGGTGCCGTCCTCGACTGCACCTTCAAAAGTTTTGCCTAGGCCCTGAAGGTGGCCTAGGCTGTCCCTAGTTTTGACCAGGTTGAGGGCCGGTCGACCTCCGCCTGCCCCCTCGACCCCGCCGCCTGGCAAAGTCCTGTCTAGGACGCGGCGGGGGAGGGTAAAATCTCTGTGGCGGTGGCCGGAAGGGTCTGCGCTGAGGCCCCGGGACATGCATCCCCAGGGAGCGCATCATTGTCCGCGAGTCCTTGAGGTTTTGGAGCCTCGCGTCAGTCTTCTCTGAAAAGAGTCCCTGTCCCTCAAACGGCAGATCTTGTAGCGTCTGCTGTAGCTCTGGTGGCAAGCCAGACACCTGGAGCCAGGAGAGTCGCCGCATGGCTATCCCCGACGCCAGGGTCCTAGCTGCCGAGTCTGCAATGTCAAGCGAGGCT